ATGTCTAAAAGCCATATATGAGAGAGTGCATGCCATGTTTCTCTTTTTGTGACTGTGTTACCTCACTCAGGATGGTTTCTTCTAGTGTCATCCATTTGCCTGCAAATCTCTATCCACTCTTCAGTTGAGGGGCATCTAGGTTGCTTCCAAGTTCTGGTTATTACAAATAATGCTGCTATTAACATAGTGGAACAGACATCCTTGTTGTATGAATGGGCATCTTTTGGGTATATGCCTAAGAGTGGAGTTGCTGGGTCTTGTGGTAGGTTTATTCCATTTTTCTGAGGAATCTCCATACTGATTTGCAAAGTGGCTGAACAAGTTGGCACTCCCACCAGCAATGGAGGAGTGTTCCTCTTTCATCACATCCTCTGCAGCATAAATTGTCCTTGGTGTTTTTGATTTTGGCCATTCTGACAGGAGTGAGATGGTATCTCAGAGTTGTTTTGGTTTGCATTCCAGGATGGCTAAGGATGTTGAGCACTTTCTCAAGTGCCTCTCAGCCATTTTAGACTCCTCTATTGAAAATTCTCTATTTACTTCTGCAGCCCACTTTTTAATTGGATCCTTTGGTGTTTTTGAGACTTTCTTCTTGAGTTCTTTGTAAATTTTGGAGATCAACCCTCTGTTAGGGTTGGGATGTGGGATTAGTGAATAATTTTTCCCATTCTGTAGGCTGCCTTTTTTGTCTTGCTGACTGTGTCCTTTGCCTTACAGAAGCTTCTCTGTTTCGGGAGGTCCCATTTATTAATTGTTGATCTCACTGTCTGTGCTAGTGGTGTTATGTTCAGGAAGCTGTCTCCTGTACCAATTCGTTCAAGGGTACCACCCACTTTCTCTTCTAAGAGATTCAGTGTGGCTGGATTTATGTTGAGGTCTTTGATTCTTTTGGACTTAAGTTTTGTGCATGGTGATAAACATGGATCGATGCACATTCTTCTCCATGCCAGCCTCCAGTTATGCCAGCACCATTTGTTGAAGATGCTTTCTTTATTCCATTGTATATTTTTAGCTTCTATGTCAAAGATCAGATGTTCATACGTGTGTGAGTTAATATCCGGGCTTTCAATTCGATTCCATGTCTACCTGTCTATTATTGTGCCAATACCAAGCTGTTTTCAGAACTATAGCTCTATAATACAGCTTGAGGTCAGGGATGGTGATACCTCTGGACGTTGCCTTGTTGAACAGGTTTGCTTTGGCTATCCTGGGTCTTTTGTTTTTCCATACAAAATTGATTATTGTTCTTTCGTGGTCTGTGAAGAATTGTGCTGGGATTTTAATGGGAATTGCATTGAATCTGTAGATTGCTTTTGGCAGGATTGCCATTTTTACTACATTGATCCTACCTATCCAAGAACATGGGAGATCTTTCCATTTTCTGAGGGCTTCTTTAATTTCTTTCTTTAAAGATTCAAAGTTCTTGTGATACAGGTCTTTCACTTGTTTGGTTAGCGTTACCCCAAGGTATTTTATGTTGTCTGTGGCAATTGTAAAGGGTGATGTTTCTCTGATTTCTTTTTCAGCCCTTTTATCATCTGTATCCTCAGAGTCCGTTGTTATGTCCCCCTTTTCATTTCTGATTTTGTTAATTTGCATGTTCACTGTCTGCAGTTTGGTAAGTTTGGACAAAGTTTTGTCTATCTTGTTGATTTTCTCAAAGAACCAACTCTTCGTTGCATTGATTCTTTGTATTGTTTTCTTAGTTTCTACTTTATTGATTTCAGCCCTCAATTTGATTATTTCCTGGCGTCTACTCCTCCTGGGGGAGTTTGCTTCTTTGTGTTCTAGATTTTTCAGCTGTGCTGTTAATTCTCTAGTATAACTATTCTCCAGTTTCTTCATGTGGGCACTTAGTGCTATGAACTTACCCCGTAGCACTGCTTTCAAAGTGTCCCATAGGTTTGGGTATGTTGTGTCTTCATTCTTATTGAATTCTAGGAAGTCTTTAATTTCTTTTTTTATTTCTTCTTTGACCCAGGAATGGTGCAGTTGTACATTATTCAATTTCCATGAGTTTGTAGGTTTTCTGCAATTTGTGTTGTTGTTGAATTCTAATTTTAAAGCATGGTGGTCTGATAAGATGTATGGCGTTATTCCGATTTTTTTGTAGCTGCTGAGGTTTGATATGTTGCCAAGTATGTGGTCGATTTTTGAGAAGTTTCCATGTGGCATTGAGAAGAAGGTATATTCTATTTTATGTGGATGAAATGTTCAGTAGATGTCTGTTAATCCCAGCTGGGTCATTACTTCTATTAGACCCTTTGCTTGTTTGTTGAGTTTCTGTCTGGTATTCCTGTCTAGTGGTGAGAGTGTTGTGTTGAAATCTCCCACTATAAGTGTGTGGGACTTTATATGTGATTTAAGTTTTAGTAATGTTTCTTTTACGAACGTGGATGCCTTTATATTTGGGGCATAGATGTTCAGGATAGACACTTCATCTTGGTGGATTTCACCTGTGATGAGTATGTAATGACCTCCTTCATCTCTTTTGATTGATTTTATTTTAAAGTCTAGTTTGTTAGATATTAGGATTGCTACCCCTGCTTGTTTCTTGGGTCCATTTGATTGGAAGATTTTTTCCCAACCTTTAACTCTCAGGTAATGTCTGTCTTTGAGGGTGAGATGTGTTTCTTGTATTCAGCAGAAAGAAGGGTTCTGTCTTTGAATCCATTCTGCTAGCCTGTGTCTTTTTATGGGTGAGTTAAGGCCATTAATGTTGAGGGATATTAATCACCATTGATTGCTCATCCTTCTTCGATTTACAATGGTTGTTGATGTTGGAATTATATGTGGAATTTCACCCCTTTGTTCTTTTGGCTGTTGGTAGAGAGGTATTCTCTAATGCCTATGTTTTTCTGGTTGTAGTTAACTTCCTTGGGTTGGAGTTTTCCTTCCAAAACTTTCTGTAGGGCTGAGATAGTGGATACGTATTGTTTGAATCTCGTTTTGTCATGGAATATCTTGTTTTTTCCATCTATGGTGATTGAGAGTTTTGCTGGGTATAGTAGTCTGGGCTGGCATCCATGGTCTCTTAGTGTTGGTAGAATCTGTATCCAGGACCTTCTGGCTTTCAGAGTTTCCATGGAGAAATCAGGTGTAGTTCTGATAGGTTTGCCTTTTTTTGTTACTTGGTTTGTTCTTTCTTCCATTTCTTGCATTTTTTGGTTTGCTTTTTCTTCCATTTCTTGCATTTTTTTGGTTTGTTTTTTTCTTCCATTTCTTTGAGGGATTTTCCTATATCCTCTTTTAGGGCCTCTATCATTTTCATGAAAGTGGTTTTAAGGTCATTCTCTTCTGCTTCGTTTGCATTGGAATGTTGGAGTCTTGCTGGTGTGGAGTCTCTAGAATCTGGTGGTGTCATATTTGTTTTTATGTTGCTGAGTGTGTTTTTGTATTGTCTCTTTCCCATCTTATCTTCTAGTGGGTGCAGAAAGAGCCCCTTACTGGTGTGGTGGTTAGGGGACCAGAGTTCCCTTTTGGTGGGTGCTAGCAAGTCCAATAATCTGGTAGTTCTTCTATTCCTTGTCCTTGTTCTGTTCCCGTGGGTGGAGAAGAAGAACAGGAATCTGGGGTGCTTAGCCTCCCACCTGGTCCCCTGGACCCTTTGCTAGATCCTCTTGTACCTGATCCCGCTGGAACAGCTGCTCCCCTGGTCTCCCTGGCTCCTCTGGTTTCCTGGTCTCCTTGGTGGGAGAAAAGTCCTGGAGTCTGGGGTGTTTGGCTCCTGATCTTTACACATGATAATAGATGCCTTCTGCCATTGTGCCCACCTTTGGATGGTTACTTAAGATGATGTAACCATAAACTATGGCCCTCAGTACTAACTGATTGCCCTCCTGATATGACCAGGTATCTCTGTTTTGTCTTTAACAGCATTGGATAGTTAGCTTTCCTGCATCCACACTCCACCATTCAGGTTTGGACCTGGGTTTGTTTAGCTGGTTCTGATTGTAGCCCCCAAAACATTAGTCTATAATAACAACCCCAGAGAAGCTAGAAAACAAGGAGTATCCTAAGGGAGACATACATGGATCACCTTCTCTCCCCACCTCCTTACCTCCTCTCCCCAGCACCAAGAAGAAGAAAGGGATATGACCTCCTTAGTAAATTGGGAGCATGGGGGAGGAAGCAGGAGGCAGGAGAGGAGGGGAGAAAGGCAGGGGGAAGAAGAAATTACCAGGAATCCATAAGGATGACATCAACTAAGCAGTAGTGGAGAAGCTATCTTATATGCCCTTCCCCTCTAATGAGATTGACAACTACCTTAAATGCCATCATAGAGCCTTTACCTAGTAGCTGATATAAGCAGAAGCAGAGACTCACAGCTAAGCACTGGGCTGAACTCCTGGAGTCCAGCTGTAGAGAGGGAGGAGTGATTATCTCTTTTCTAATAGTAGGTGAGTGGATCTGTTCCATGATCACCCTTGAACGTGAGTGTCATTTGGTAGGATTGGGCAGTCTATGGGGCATCTGGCAGTGGAACCAGTATTTATCCCTAGTACATGAGCTGGCTTTTTGGAGCCCATTCCCTTTGGAGGGATACTTTCTCAACCTATATACAGGAGAGAGGGCCTCAGCCCTGCCCCAAATGATGTGACAGACTGTGATTATCCCTAATGGGAGTCCTTACCCTCTCAGAGGAACAAATGGGGGTAGAGGTGGTGAAGGATTGGGAGAACAGGAGGGAGAGGAAACTGGGATTGGTGTGTAAAATGAGGTTGTTTAAATTAAATAAAAATAATTTTAAAAGATAGATTAGAAAACATTCAACTACAGAAACTACTAATCAGCAGATATAAATTATGAATGATTTTCAAAAATTGCTGGGAGACATTAACTGGATATGGCCCACAATTAGAAAACAACTTGAGAACTAAGTAATTTATTTCAGACATTACAACGTGATATGGACTTAAATATTTCAAGAAAATGATCAACTGAGGCTGACAGTATTTATTGGCTTTCATAGAAAAGAAATTACAAGATGTACACGTGAGTCATTTAGATACAGAACTTGATTTTATTTTGGTTATGTTTTTTACCTTCTATGCATTCCCCCACAGTTATTATAATGCACAGAGAAGATCATATTATAGGATGGTATATTTTCACCACACAGAGTAAAAAAAATTAAAGACTTATGTTGAAAAGTTTCATGAGTTAGTTCTGAAAGGAAAATTAAGAGTTCATCAATTAGCAGTAATAGAACCAACAAAAATTGTAGGACCTTTGGCTAATGCTGAAATTTTTCTCATTATGAACAGAGAATAACATTGGTAAGAATCTTAGAGTAATTTGGGGTGAAAGAATAGCAAAATATATCCCCAAAGCAAGAGAATTCAGTCTATAATGAGATGAATTTAAGGCTCAAAACATAAGAAAAAACATTTATTTCAGTTTAACTAATTTTCTATCATTTAAGAATCTTTAGGTGTTATCTTCAAGTAATTTTATAATTCTTAGAATTATTTAATTTCTTCATATAATTTTGTGTATATTTGGTTTCCAAACAGGGTCACAAGGTTACCAACTTGCCAATCTCAAAGCACCTCTATAGCTGTTGATCTGTATCACCAAGAAAATAACTATATAGTAGTATGAATGTTTAAATATGGAGACACATCAAACAAGTTTTATAAATCTTTGAAAAGTTTGAGGACAATGCATATGTTATATTTATAAGTAAATGTGTCTTTTGCTATCAAAATATTCAGAAATTGATAAGAAAGTTTTTTAAAAAGATAGAAATAAATTAAATCATCATCATTCAAAAGATTTCTACTGAAAGGCAAAACAGCAGAAACTGAATGAAATTTTTAAGAAGATTCCAGTTTCAGACACAAAGAGAGGAAGCATCTCAGAGCTCATCTCTAAACTTCAGGGTGCAACCCTTCATCTGCTGCTCATAGTGGTTATCAAATCTCTCCCTCAGTGCTACTGTAAAGTGGTTCTTCCAGTCTCCTACGACCCCTGTAATTAAACAGATGGAAATCAGTAAAGTCAACTCTTTGAGAATAATGAGATTTCTCTATATCTTGAGCATCTTCCATAAATAATGTGAAATTTTTCCTAACATTCCATTTTCTCAATAAATACTTAAGTATCACATTGTTTTATTTCACAAAGATTAATTAGTCTTTATTGTTTTGAAAATTTTTTCTGTAAAATTCCTATCCTTTTTCCCTGAATTGCTTCAAATGTGCTTATTTGATTTTCTTTTATATAGTTTTAAAGAAAACACATGCTGATTATGCAGGGTCAATAACCTTGACTAGATTTTTGCCTAAATCACGGCAACTTAGACATTTTAACAGAAAACCACATCACTTTCTCACCCTTTCTAATGAAAGGCGATATTTTGTGATTCATACAGTTATCTGGAAATGTTGTAAAATTGACGTATGGGTTATTCTTCATCTCCTGGAATGAAGTGTGTTGAATGATTTTGTCCACGAGCTCCTCTGAGGGCTTCTTCCCCAGGAACTCTATCAATTTTATCACCTCTTTTCTGATATCCTATGGAGAAAAAAACTAATTTGAAAATCAAGTTGACAAAATTGGTGAATAGATATTAAGCTAAAAATGAAATAATATTATGTTGCATTTGGTCACACTGGAATTAAATGTATAATAAAGAAAACAAAGTATTCTAAATAATTCTTCCTCATCCAAAAATAGATGCAAGAGACACTTCAAAAATTGTTAGGCCCAAATGACATGTAAAATGTTAACTGTAGTTCATTATAATTTTCTCATGTCTTCTTATTCTCCCATAGATTTTTTTGTGTGTATGAGACACACACACACACACACACACACACACAGAGAGAGAGAGAGAGAGACAGAGAGAGACAGAGAGAGACAGAGAGAGAGAGAGGACACATGTAGGGTAAGTGTGTATGCACTTGTATTTGAGTATTTGAAAGCCAGAAATTTGTAGTCATATAACTTCCACTATCACTCTCACTTTTTAACTGAGGCAGGGTGTCTCGCTCAACCCAGAGCTCACTGATTCTGTTGGTTCACTCTCTGAGTTTGACTCTGATATCCTCTATTTCCATAGCACTAGGATTAAGGGCAGGCTTCCATGCTGACGTGCCTTTATGTAAGTACCAGTGATTTGAACTCCAATCCTCAAGCTTGTATAGCAATGACTTTATCTACTGACATATCTCTCTGGCAAGTTTTTATTTAATTATTTTTATTCTTTTTGAGTTGTGTTGCTATTCTACTCAAACATGGCTTGAACTCCTGGGTACTTGTCTCAGACTCATAAGTGGTACAATTACAGGTATAAGCAAACATGCCTATATATTATAATTTCATGCATGGTGTATGCACAATTAATTTCATATATAGGAGATACAAACCCTCAGACTAGAGTGTCCAGTCAAAGAAGAAGTTTGGTGATCCATATATATATATGTATGGATATATATGTATGGCTATATATAGATAGATATAGATATAGATATCATTATTTGTTTCTGTTCTAATTTTTATTTTTAAATTTAAATTTAAATTGGAAACAAGTTTGCTTCACATGTCAATCCCAGGTCCCTCTCCCTTTCCCTCCCCTCCTCCCACGCCCTCCCACCAACCACCCCAATACCTCCTCATTTACTCAGGGAGCGTAAGGCCCTCCATGGGGGTGTCCATAACCTGTCATTTCATCCAGGGTAGGGCCTAGACCCTCCCCCAAGAGTCCAGGCTGAGAAAGCATCTCTCATTGTTGGATGGACACCCAAAGTCCATTTGTATGCCAGGGATAAATACTGATCTACTACCCAAGGCCCAATGGATTGCCTAGGCCTCCTCACTGACACCCACATTCAGGGGGTCTTGATCAGTCCCATGCTGGATTCCCAGCCATCAGTCTGGGATTCAAGAGCTAACTCTTGTCAGGTCAGCTGTTTTTGGGGGTTAAACCTGCCCAGTCTTAACCCCTTTGCTCATCAGTCCTCCCTCTCTGTCACTGGATTCCTTGAGTTCATCTCAGTGATGAGCTGTGGGAGTCTGCCTCTGCTTCCCGTTATTTGTTTCTTATCATTATGAATTCAAAGTTCTTCTTGCAAATTTTATCTTCAGAAAATTTTGTCACACTTGGATTTAAATTGTATTTGTTCACTACTAGATACAAACTGGAGTATCATGATTTTCCTCCTATAGTTTTTCAAGTAGTTCCTGTTATGTTTACAGTGATAATATTGCATCCAGAGTATTGCCAGATCCTAAAAGCATCTTAAAAACTACTAGAATGCTCATGTGCCTTCCAATTCTTATCCTAAAGTGATATTATTTTTATAATCTAACAAATAAAGCTTGCTTGAAATGAGAATGCAGAGCTAAGCTACTAGTTAACCACACACCTAAGCCACTAGTTAGCCATACAGGACAGGAAGTGGTGGCCATAACTTTAATTTCAGCACTCGAGAGACAAAGGCAGATGATCTCTGTGAGTTCAAGGTCATCCTGGGCTACATGAGAGTGAATCATCTAAAAGAGAAACAGAGCTTGCATCTCAGATCCCAGCACTAGAAAGAATGCATAGCAGGAGCTCAGTGCACTCTCAGGGAACAGTCTGAGGGTTTTGGTGGAGAGAATTGTAGTCTGCAGTCACACTGAGTACAGGATCCCACACTTTCAGTCTTAGCCTTGGTAGAGGTGAGAACTCTCTAGTGGCTTGACCACTTTGCTTTTCTTATCTTCAGGATGAAACCCAATATCTGTCCCTGGGTTTTTATTATTAATGTTACATTACCTCTATCATGTCTTCATAGAACATAAATAGTATACGTGAATTATTTCTCTTTTCCCACCAAGCTTTTACGTGATCAAACCAGGAACCATACATAACTGAAATTAGAAGAAAAATGGCAAAGATATTGTATCATCATGTTGCATCTTTATAGAAGTATTCAAATTGTTAATGACAAAATGATCATAGAATAAGAACTAATAGATCATTTGCAATTTTAAAAAGAGTTTTGTGCAGTAATGATGCAAATGTTGTTGAATAATTTCATGGACAAAAACAGTTTTTAGTTTTAGCATCATGATATATATATATTATGATATTCAGAAAAGATAAGAAACCAACTCAATTTAGAGCACTGAGAGCATGTGTTAATCTAGTGTGTGTGTGTACCTACGTCTGTGTGTTTGTGTACATGTGCCTGTGTGTCTGTGTGTATACACCTCTCTCTAAGAGATAAACACACACAATCACACACAGAGAAAGAGAAAGAGAGGAACAAGAAAAGATAGAGAAGAGAGAGGAGAGGGGTGAGAGAGAATACAGTAATTATCACAACAGTGATAATTTAGATTGTGAAAAGTATACTCATAGAGACAATTCCTGTCTCCCATAAAATTAGAAGATTTTGGATATGATGTGATATGGCAAATGCTACCACTTCCTTTTTCTTCTCTTTCCCTCACAAAACAGCTTTGTCAAATCCAAGGCTAACAGAATGATACAAGCATGTGTGAGTCACCACTAGACTTGCCATTGACCCATTGTGTGTTTGTCTGTGCTTTGACACCATAATCAAAGTTTCTTATGAAAAGACACACAATGATGTTAATAATCTAATTCATCCCATTTTAGGGCATATAATTTACTTTTATCTATATTTCATAGAGAAATTTGACAATGGAGATGTATTTTATATTCGTGGTGTTTTAGAAGACATTTTTCCCTGCAAACCACAAAGATCCAATGATAAATATTATCTCATATGGATATAAAATATTTTTCTTTTAATTATTTCTATACAATTTGCATGGCTTTGTTTTAACACACTGTAAAACCATCTTTGCCTCTTCACCTTAAAACACAAATACTAAATTGCTTTGGTCTGAACTTCAGTGGAATGATAAAATTCCCATAACATCTGCTCAAGGTTCAGTGAAATAAATATGAAAATGTTCAGTCTACATGCCTGGTAGAATAAGCAAGAGTTTTATAACTTATTGAAAATATTTATAAATCCCTACTTCAGTTTTCACTTAATGCTTTGGCACTCTTTTTGGAAAGGAATATGTCATGCTTTTGTACTTTCACCCACTTTTTGTTTAATCATATGATAACAACATGCTCTAAAACATTTGGAAAATACAAAAATATTTGTTAGAGACAGCATATGCTAACTCTTAGACTTGTAGAGGGGAAACTACCACATACAAAGCACAAAGTTGGGTCAATGTATTTACTTACTGATGTTATAATGAAATTCCCAGAGTCCCTAATTTTCCCTCCTCCTCATATACAGAAGCTACTATCACTCTAAGCATCAGTTCTTTGAGTATTTATGTAATACTATATCCCATAGAAAACATATATTCTAACTCTGTTCACATATATATTTACTTTATATTTAAATTTATATTATATTCCTATTTATATGTATTCCTATCATCTTATATTTATATTCTACTTTATTTATATTACATTTTATTTCTGTTTACTTATATGAATCTGCTGTTCATATTTATAAATTCACTTATATTTTATTACACTCTATTTATATATATTATATTTCTTTTTACATATTATCTCTGCTTATATGAATTCATTTATTTTCCTTCACACAGAACAGCATTTGTTGTCTCCTTTTCTAAAATCAATCCTAAGAAGACTAGTTAGTTGCTCTTACCTTGTCCTTTCATAAATTTCTCCACCATTTCTGGAAAGGATTCGGGACTTGGGTAAGACACTATCATTAGGAGAAAGTAATAATAAGAAACCACTACATCCTTGGCATTCCGGCAAAGGTAGATAATCTAGAGGATAAAATAATGTGTTAAATCACTGCCTGGATACCATGCTATCATCTTCTTTTAAAGATTCATGTCTCCAGAAACTAGCATAATATAAATTTATTGTTAAAAAGACAAAAATACATATTATACAGAAAAACATTATACAGAAAAAAATATAACATAGTATCTTAAGTTGAGGCAGTGCTTGCTGTGTCCCCTCTAGTCCTGCTAAGAGACATATTCAACAACTTGAGGTAACAGCACCGTTTTTATACTTGTTCAAAGTCTCCCTTTGCTTTTTATGTATATGACATTTTCAGTCAAAACATTGAGCTAAGTAGATTGTTCCCCAATTTTATTAATGAAATTTAAATTGACTCAAGTATTTAAAATAAATCAATGCAAATAACCAAATTGACAAAAGTACAGTTTTCTGTTCTTTAGACCATATTACATTTAGATTCCTGAGACAAAAAAGACAAAATGCCCTGTGGCTTCATCAATTGTAACTGGAAAAAGTAATCATATTTACATATTTGTGTTTAATGCATATCTAAAGGTTTTCTATTTTCTTCATCAGGGTTCTCCTTGAGGTCCTCCCCTTCATTGTTTGATAATAAAAGTGACCACTGCTGGGTGATGTGATGAGAGGAAAATGCAATCTCTTAACTTCATTCACTGGCTTTCCATTCTTATCATACACAGTAGTTAAACACCAAAGGATTAACAAATCAGGAAGCTGTGGTATTAGCTGCTGTTTCTAGCTTTAACACTGTAAAACTGTATCCTTCACAGTCCTCATCTGTTTATATGCAGGTATTTTCATCACTAAAGAAACCAGGCAACACGTGTAGTTTCTGCCTAGTATATGATCTGTACACCTCCCTCCAAACCTCACCACAACTTCAAATTCCTTGTCATTAAACAATTTTTCTCACTTATCATCCTGGTCTAACTCACACAGTCACTTTGGAAATCAGTAAGGTAGTTCCTCGGGAAAATGGCAATCAGTCTACCAAAAGATCCAGCAATTACACTATTAGGCATATACCCAAAAGATGTACATTCATACAACAAGGATGTCTGTTCAACTATGTTCATAGCAGAATTATTTGTAATAGCTAGATCCTGGAAGCAACCTAGATGGCCCTCAACAGAAGAATGGATAAAGAAAATGTGGTGAATTTACACAATGGAGTACTACTCAGCAGAAAAAAAAAACAATGAAATCTTGAAATTCACAGGAAAATTGATGGAACTAGAAGAAACCAGCCTGTGTAAGGTAACCCTGCCACAAAAAGACAAACATGGTATATACTCACTCATATATGGATTTTAGGCATAGAGAAAAGGATTACCAGCCTACAATCCACACCACCAGAGAAGCTAGGAAACAAGGAGAACCCTAAGAGAGATATACATGGTCCCCCAGAGAAGGGGAAAGAGACAAGATCTCCTGAGCAAATTAGGAGCATGAGGGGAGGAGAGAAGGAGTTAGGAGAAAGAGAAGAGGAGAAGAGGATGGGAGAGGAAGACATGAGGGAGCAAGAAATTTGAGTGGGGGGAAGAATAAAAGAGAGCAAGAAAAGAGATATAATAATGGAGGGAATCTTCATAGATTTAAAGAGAAATGTGGCACTAGGGAAACATCCAGAGATCAACAAGGATGACCTCAACTAAGAATCTAAGCAATAGTGGAGGGGCTACTTTAAATGCCCTTCCCCAATAATGAGATTGATGACAACCATATATGCCATCCTCGAGCCTTCATCCAGTAGCTAATGAAAGCAGAAGCAAACACCACATCTAAACACCGAGCTGAACTCCTGGAATCCAGTTGCAGAGAGGGAAGAATAATGAGCAAAGGGGCAAGATCAGGCTGGGGAAACTCACAGAAACAGCTGAACTTAACAAGGGGGAGCTCATGGACCCCAAACTGATAGCTAGGAAACCACCATAGGACTGATCAAGAACCCCTGAACATGGGTGTCAGTGAGGAGGCCTGGGCAATCTTCTGGTTGTGGATTACTATTTATCCCTAGTATACGAATGGACATTGGGAGCCCATTCCACATAGAAGGATACTCTCTTCTGTAACCCACTTTTCAATGGGATCCTTTGGTGTTTTGGAGACTTGCTTCTTGAGTTCTTTGTAAATTTTGGAGCTCAGCCCTCTGTCAGATGTAAAATCAAAAACACCAATGACAATTTATGCTGGAGAGGTTGTGGTGAAAGGGGAACACTACTCCACTGCTGGTGGGAGTTCAACTTGTGCAGCCACTTTGGAAATCAGTATGGAGATTCCTCAGAAAAAATGGAAATAAAACTACCACAAGACCCAGCAACTCCACTCTTAGGCGTATATGCAAAAGATGCCCATTCATACAAGGATGTCTGTTCCACTATGTTCATAGCAGCATTATTTGTAATAGCCAGAACTTGGAAGCAACCTAGATGCCCCTCAATGGAAAAGTCGATAGAGAAAATGTGGTACATTTACACAATGGAGTACTATTCAGCAGAAAAAAAAGCAATGGAATACTGAAATTTGTAGGCAAATGGATGGCACTAGAAGAAACCATCCTGAGTGAGGTAACCCAGGCACAAAAAGAGAAACATGGCATGTTTTCACTCATATATGGATTTTAGACATAGATCAGGGGCGTTCCAGCCTACAATCCCATGGCCAGAGAGTCTGGGAAACAGAACCTTCATTCAGTGGCTGTTGGAAGCAGAGGCATACTCCCACAGCTAAGAACTGAGCTGAACTCAAGAAATCCAGTGACAAGAGAGGGAGGACTGAGGACCAAAGGCGTTAAGACTTGGCTGGTTTAACCCCCAGAAACAACTGACCTGACAAGGGTTAGACTGATGCCTGGGAATCCAGCATGGGACTGATCAAGACCCCCTGATTGTGGGTGTCAGTGAGGAGGCCTAGGTAATCTATTGAGCCTTGGGTAGTAGACCAGTATTTATCCCGGGTATACAAATGGACTTTGGGATCCCATCCAACAATGAGAGATGCACTCTCACCCTGAACTCTTGGGGGAAGTTCTAGGCCCTGCCCTGGATGAAATGACAGACAATGGACACCCCCATGAAGGGCCTCATCCTCCCTGGGGAAATGAGGCGTTGGTGGGGGGTTGGTGAGAGGGTGAGGTAGGAGGGGAGGGAAAGGGAGAAGGGCCTGGATTTGACATGTGAAGCAACCTTGTTTCTAATTTAAATTCAAATTTAAAAATAAAATATAAAAAAGGAATCATTTATTTTATTTGTCGTTTATTCTCTCTGATTCATCACATCCACAAAATATTCTTCTCTGATTGATCAACAAATCAACATGTAAATGGTCAAAAGGCAAATTCATTTAATTATCTCTTTTTCTTTGATGACCTCGGAGGTATAATGAAGTACGCAATAAAACCTGACTGTAAATTTCAATGGAGCAGTAAACTCCTACAATTCTCACAAGGATGAACGTGGTTTGATCAACACTCTTATGGAAAATGGTGATGAGACACCTCAGGAAATTAGGTAACTGTGAAAGAAGTTTTCTGTAGGGAATCATACAGGAGGACATGTACATAGTGTTATTTCAGATGCAACTAAGAAAGCATCTGAAGTTTGGAGCATAAGATCTTTACAAAGTGTCAAATATACAAGCAACATTAGCAAGCAGGATACAGGAAATTCATTTCAAGGTCAATTTTTGCCCATACTTTAGAACTATATAACCCTCTCTATAAAATGCCTAATCTTTGAAGGGATCAGCCCCCTGCTTTAGCAGCCAAGACAGACTGCAGAAAAGATTTCAACATGTGCTTGCCTGACCTTGCTGAGCCTGCCTTGATCAATAGGAGGTCAGATACCCTCAGTTTCAAGGAACCAATCAGAAGTTAGCTGCTAGGGCTGTGCTTTAGGGCTATGGGTGTGCACTTTACAGTACAAGTGAAGAGCATAGCAACTGCCCTGGGAGGGCCTATAGGCCATAACAACCAGTTGACCAATCAGCACAGGACAGGTTGAACAAGCCCAGAAAGCACGCTAATCCTGATACTATTGCCTACCCCTAGACAACCCCTTACACTGACCTGCCTGGTGGTTTCTTGGGTTCTACTTCAACCTCCGCAAGATGGATGAAAAGCCCCAGCTAATAGCGTTAGCTCATTAAACAATAAAAGACTTTTTGCTTTTGCATTGGAATAGGTTTCTTGGTGGTTTGGGGCGTTCAGAATTTGGGCACAACAATCTTGTCATAATTGAAGTAAAATCCAAGTTTCTTAACTTGGCATCCTACTTTCCTGTGATAAGTCCTAGGTAATTTTATTTGAATCTTTTAACCAGCATGGTCATTTGCCACACTCACTCCAGTGGTGTCTGCATGACAAGCCTAAAACCTTGGGTCACAGGCCTGAGGCAAAAGTTTCATGGAAACTGGTCTCCTGGAAGATCCCTGGCATCCCATATCAAGGATGTGTTCCAGATTTGTTCTAGCAATAACCAGTGGATGTTTCTGAACCTTATCTTTTTTGGTATTAATTTCTTTTGTAGGAATAAGTATGCCTCAAGGATCCAATCTGATTGAAGGTCCAGTAAAATCGGATGTTCCTCCTCTGGCCACCACTGATGTTCCAACTTCCTTGCCAGAAATAGAACTAAGAAAATCAGGGGTCGATGGTGGGCTTGTCTAATAAATAGGGCATTTCCCCAAATGCTTAGGATAAGGCTGCTCCCCTTCCATATACTAGAATTTATGATGAAGATAATAGGAGGAGAACTTGTGATATACTACACCCCTTCATGGAAAGGCTTGCTAGAGTAAGACCCCCTTGGTCTATTATCCAAACACAACATAATAATATAATCACAACGTTCAAAAAGGCAGGCCAATGGTGGGGTAAGCACTGGACCAAGAAATGGGACTATGACTGGGGCATATGACCATAAGACAGGGGAAGTAATTCTAATAGGCTGATTTCAGACAGAGCTGATGTTAGCATGTAACCATTGTCTGGCTACTGCCTGTTCTTGTGTATTTGATTTTCTATTTTGAATTTCTAGTCTCATGATGTGCCTCATCTGTCAATTTTGCTAACTTCAATGTACCTTGACATATGTACAAAACTAACTTCTTTACTTCCTCATGTAATGTAAAAGTCTGATGCATGCTTTGAGAAATTACACTCAGATTCAGCACCCTCTTGTGTTCATGTCTGATTGTCACTCACCGACTCTTTGCCCGCCTGAGTACCAAATCCCTGATTCTCCCAGGATTGAGGGGAGAATCAGCACCACCACTACCCAGCCCTCTTCAGTCTTTTAAACCATTCATCTGAATCAGAAGTGTTCTCTTTCGTGGTCTAAAAACTAACTGTCGTATCACCTATTTTTGTTTTTACTTTAGTGACTGTTTCCATATAACCAGTGATTATCTGTGTCATATGTCCCTACACCTTCCAGGAACTGATAGGTTTGAATATGATTTTTACCCTCCAAAATCCACATTCAAATTCAATGTTCACAATGAAGCCTGTGTACCTGTAGAATGAATACCATCTGATTTTTGTATTTAGATATGGGCCTTTCAGGGTGTCAAGGCTTACAAAGGGTCACCATGGCAGCAAAGTTGGAGACTATATACATACATACATACATATGTACGTACGTGCGTGTGTGCGTGTGTGTGTGTGCTGACTTGTATGCTACCTTGAAAAACTGTCAACAAGAAGACTACCACCAACTTTACAGGTTAGCCAGCATGTAGTGTATTATTATGAATGAAACAGATGATAACAGACCTTTTCATTCACTGGGTAAATGATTATTACAGGATTGTAGGTATACTATTTGAATATCTCATTTGAATATCTCACAATGCCATATACTATTTTGTGAAGAAAGAACATTCAGTCCACCGGGAAAGAAATGTAGCTATCTATTGGGTGGGGGTTCGGGGAGTTGGTGGAGGGTAGGGAAGGAGGGGATTGGGGGAGGGAGAGGAAGCTGGAATTGACATGTGAAGCAAGCTTGTTTCTTATTTAATTAAAATATTTATATAAAAAATAAATGTAGTTATCTAGTATTCATTCAGTTCTTACAGTAGGCATTAGGCTTGAGGTTTCAAGGATAATTGCACTTAGCTCTATTAGGAAGATGTCCCTATTACCCTTCTTTTGCACAGAAACAAACCAAGGTTTAGAGTTTAACTGGCTTTCAGAATCACTGTAAGCAAATAAAAGAAGGTATAATTACAATTTAGACTTGGGTTATGCTAAAAATAATTCACATTTGTTGAAAACTCTGTGTGCTAAATGAAAAGAGTAATGCAAGATGTATACAATGCCTTTTAGGTGATATCCAAGTCCATAAAGTCTAAGATGATGTATTTCTGATTACCTTACAGTTCTTTTCCCAAAATGATGTTGGAAGAAGTCTGGGTGGCAGGTGGGTTTTCACTATTCTAGGAGATTCCTTTTCTTTTAATTGTTTTACTCCTGAGTTGAAAATAGACAAATTGAAAAATGTTCATACAAATTTAAGTGGATATTTTAAAGGAGATTACTTAAGATTCTAGATAACGGGTTGATATATTTAAAAAATGTTTCTAATTTAAGAAAAAAGAAAAAAAGCAGAAAAAAGATTCTATATAGTACAAATTGTGAAGAAAATTATTAATTCAATAAATTGAAAAGCAAGATCAAATATTTTCATCAATTGAAGTGAATAATTTTTACATGTTGGTACGCAAACGTTCATGAATACAGTTTTGACTCTCCTTGGAATTCGGTGAAGTTTCTAGTACTTAAAATATTTTCAACTTCAGGAAACTGATAAATAAATGCTGACATATTATATAAGACTCTCCTGAACATGTATAATAGCTAGGATTATTCACTGTTTCAGGCACATGTCATTCTATAAAACTCCTCTGGACTTAAAGTTTTAGAATTCTCTATAGAGGTGACAGAATATTAATTGCATATGTTGCTAAAAAATCTTGTTTTATTGCAATATAATCATATCTATGTCATCTATCATATATATCTTAAAATATATTCATGTATCTTTAAAAATTGATTTAAAATTTACCATTAAATATTTCTGGATGGCAGCCTTCCAGGATTGGAACTCTATTAAAAATTGTATCTTCCTTGCATTTTTCCACATCACCTTCTTTACAGATCATATATACAATTTCACTAATCCACGTGGTACCTGTAAAAATTAAACAAACCTGATTCTCCAATGACTGTGTATGGCTGTTACCAGTATTATTTTATTAGTGTCTGATACCATCCAAATTCAAACAATATTTTCTTGACTATTTAAATTTATACTGTCCAAAATAACTTCAACAAATACAGATATATACTGTCATGAATAGTAGCTGGCCAATGTGTCCATGCCTTCTTATTATGAACTGTGACATTATGAAAATTAATAACACTTCGATAACTTCAATTTTTTGAACAATAAGTGAGGAGACATGAATAAAAGGCAAAGCATGGGCAACACATACAAGCATACTTTCTGCTATAGACTTTACTGGTAGTCTTTGTGCCTATACTGAAGCTTCAAGCGGAGAATATAGAAAGGTAGGAATTACCTTTCTAACCTTTGATGGCAACCAGAAAAAGAAAAAAGAAAATCAGTAATGAAAAAGTGTAGTTTTCTTTCTTAAGATGTTGTAATGTTGATAAGAATAAAGAGTTTCAAGATCTAGGAAGGATGGATATATGCTGTGTGCTGCTATGGCTGCTACTAATTCTAGGATGTTCAATGAGAGGGTCCCTCATGAGACTGGAACATTGCCTGAGAACACTTGATGCCCAACCAGAGAACATGAGTTTGGCTTCCAACATCAACATGGCACCTCAAAGAATCCATCATTCCAGTTCGAGGAAAGACAGCATCCTATTCTGTGATTTCTCTGTGAATACTAAGAATGTATTGGGTGTGCATACACACATGCAGGTAAAACACTCATATGCATAAAATTACAAAAAATGAATCTTATAAAAAATGAAGTTCCCTTATGAAGAGAAGAGCATTGATCTTAGGTTTCATAATTGTGTGCAAGAGGGAAGGCCCCTATGAGACAGCAGCATAAGATCATTTTTTCAGCATGGGACATCTAAGAATTGTTTAGTGGTGGGAAAAAAGAATTAAGCATGGAAAGGGCTACACTGGTTAAAACAAATTGCTTGGTGAGACAAACTCAGTAAGGTTATAGTGGTAAGTTGATGGTAGACATAAATTGTCTTGATATGTATTTTAGGGAGTATCGTAGTTATACAGCAATACCATAAAATGTGTTCATAAAGAAATCTCTCATTGAGAGAATAAATACAGTTGTGCAAAGTAGAGGAAATATCCAGTAAGATGACAACTATGTGACATAACCACCAGAATAAATTGACAAAATAATTTGCTGGATAGTTGTAGATAAATATAAACCAAGATTGAAACCAGAATTCTGTGTTCTTTATTCAGATGGCAGTGTTCGGCTGCAATTGAACTGAGCCATGGAGAGAAACAGAGGAAGACTTTAGGGAAGAGTTTCCAAAGAGAGTGATTCTTTTACATACTGACATGCATCTGTGAGTGTGTGTGTGTGTATGCACTTGAAATATATATATATATATACATGATTGTGTGCATACACCTGAAATATATTCATATATATGATGTGAATGTGCATACACTTGAAATGTATGCATATACATAATTTGAGTGTGTGTGTGCTCAAGATTCTGTTTTACTTGAGAGAGTCCCTCGGCGTAGTTATAGCTGGTCTCAAATTCATAATTACCATATCTCCTAAGCATTGGAATTATTTGATCATACAGCCACAAAGAGATGAATGATTCATTTTTAAGTATCAAATGTTAATAAGCAAGGAATACAAGATTGGATTTCTTTGGTTTTAAAGGTGCATAATTTTAACACTCTAGACTTATTTATACTAGTATAGTTAATCTCAGAAAAAAGAATTCCAATCTGTGAATTTATGTAGTGAAATTAGAATTTGTGAGTATATGCAATGAAAAGGCAAAGGTTAACTGAAATAGAGTTTTTCATTTCTTTTGAATGGGTTTAAAATCTATATAGACAGCAATAATGTAAACAGTAGTTTTAAATGTTCATTATACAACACATAATCTCAAAATGACTTCTCTATATTGAATTAAGATAATTGCATGAGCAATAAATTTCATTTATCAGTGACTGAATGAGATTACTGATTGTGTTCTTGTAGTCTGAGATTGATAATATGCAGTTTATTAATATTTTGACACCAAAATTATTACAACTGTCCTTAGTATGAAAGATGAGTTTGAGTCAGGTTTGATACTGATGATTTAATAATGATATAGGTTTATAATTTTTATGTGTCAAAGAACATCCTGTCACAGAAAGGACTCTTACCAGATTTAGGGTAAGTAGCAATCACAATATCATCTGACCTTGCTAAGAATGTTTCAACATCACCCCAACACTTGACAAAATGTTTATCCAATAGAATTCCATGGAACTCAACAAAGACTTCATAATCCTTAGGTCTAAAAGTCTCCATTTCAAAGTGGTGTGCTGGGAGACAAAAAAAAACAACAAGATGTTTTAAACTTTGCAATACTTTCACATTAAAAATAACTATGCATATAAAATCAGTTACATATTAAATGGGTAAAACATGCTTAATATTAGTGCAGGGAGGGTAATATATAATCAGGATATATTGTATGAGAAAAGAGTCTATCTTCAATAAAAGAAAAAAGCAAAACTTATGCATATTATATATTATTAGTGTCTAAGTACTTTCTACTTTTAGATACATAAATCATTATACTTTAACATAAACAGGTAAAACTATGCAAGATAGTGTAGGGAATATATCTATACCTGTAATTATTTATATAAACATAGATATGTAAGATTCTATGATGGATGGAAAAATAATCTTCAATTTTGTCAAAGCTGATAAAGCATATGAAAAGACTAAGAAGTTTTAAAATATAGCCATATTTCAGCAATTGGGTCTGCCTCAAATAATAAGGATGGGCTGGCCACTTTATAAAGATACTGTCTGGTATCTAATCCAAATTTGTGTTAGTTCCTGAATATATGTTGTTGAATGAAAGGATTTCAAATGTTTGACAGACATGTTTGTTTGTTTGGTTAGTTGGTTGGTTGTTTTTTGTTTGTTTGTTTTTTGAGACAGGGTTTCTCTATGTAGTTTTGGATCCTGTCCTGGCACTTGCTCTGTAGACCAGGCTGGCCTTGAACTCACTTAGATCCACAGACCTCTCTCCACTCCCCACCCTGCCCCAAGTGCTGGCATTAAAGGCATGTGCCAGCATTGCCCAACTTTGATAGACATATTTAAAGAGAAGCAAAATTAAGATGCTGTAACACTTATGCCTGAAACATATTTAAAGAGAAGCAAAATTAAAATGCTGTAAAACTTATGCCTGAAATGCTGAGGTTATAGAAAAGCCTTTTGTAGTCATTGATTTTGATTTTACTTTTCTCACTTACTCTAAAAATAATTGACCTTCTTAATGAGTGATTTGCTCCAAAATGGTAAGCCTCAACACAATGGTTCTAATTCACCCCCTGATCAAAATTTTGAACTACGGGCTGGGAGATAACTCAGTGGGTCAAGAAAATGGCATAATTTTTCAATGAGAGAAAGCATGTGCAATTAACAATTTCCAAGAATGTTTAATAAATTCAAAGATTCTTGAAAAATTCATAGTTAATACTTTGTTTTCTCTCTTTAGTAACCCATGTTGCTTCTCCTGGCACTTATTCTCTGAACATCTCTATGACAACCCACCCAGGATGATATTCATTTCAATATAGTCCTTGATGGTACACAAGAAGGAAGACTTCAAGTAACACCTTGTCATTTGTTTGTTGTTACTCAGAGAATGACTTATATGTGTTATGGACCCACAAAATAGCCATGACCATTCTTCTCAAAGGGGAAAAATTCTCAGTCTCTGCAATTTCAACTCCAAAAAATCTGAGTCATATAAAATTAATAAGTTGAAAATATTATTTCTATTACAAAACAGAATTCAACAATCAGCCTATTTTCAGAATTTTCTCCCCGCTTACTGAAAATAGATATTTACAAGAAAGAAATGCCCATCTTTAAAAAGAACTATAAAAGTCAACACTTACATCATTAATTTGTTTATTCATGTGAATTGTAGTTTGTGGATTGAGCCATATTTCTAAGAATTGGTATGCATTCAACTGGAAGTGGCTAACCTACCACCAAGCAGGAGCCTGATCTCAAGCTGTCACTTCATAATTAACTTAGTCTCATAGTAAAAGAGGTGACATCAAAGGCCTCTTTCCTCCAACTGTAACATATAGACTCACTCACTACCTGTGTGTTTTTCCCTAACATGTGTAATTTTAGTCAAAAATTGTCAGCATTATTTCATAAGGAAAATTGGCACCAATTGCAGAGAAACAGCAGAACATATTGTTTAAAATGACACTCATTTACCTCCTACCTGAAATTTATCCTACTACCCTTCCCCGAATGATTGTCTTTGCTTCTTCTATGATAAAATGCTGAAAAGTTTTGTCATGTTATGTTTTAGTCTGGATTTGGGGGAAACTGACTAGCAGCAGAAGATATCTTTATACATACATACATATATATATATATACATATATATATATTTCTGTCACAACACTGTGATACAAAGGGGATTCTGAGAAAAGTTTATTACTCTATTAGACTGTATTTTGACTAGTTTTTACCATCAAACATTCAATCAAAAATGTACTGTATCCTGAAAATGAAATCCATATGAATTATTTATCAATAAATCTAGACTTTTGCTGTATTGTTTAGCTGTTTATCTAAGATGATAGTAGTAGCATTTTCAAGATCCTTTATAGCAATTGCATTTAGTACTTCCCAGGTATCTATAATACCTAAATTTTATTTTAAAGATATTTAATCATCAAAACATATCTAAAAATATTTTTGTGACAAGGAAATTTAAGAGGCTTTAAATAACTAGGCATGGTATCAATATGGAGCTTATCATACCTCTATTTTTAACAACTTAGCAAATGTCTTAAGTTTTGTTATTTTCTATATTTAAAATCTGTTAATAACAACAATAAAATACAACCTGTCCAGATGATCCCATGAAAGAAATGAAATGATCTAGTTTAGTTCTCTTCAAATGGCAGGATACACATGATTTAAGCTATAAAGAGAGAGAGAGAGAGAGAACTGTTTGTACATTTTGAAGGTTTTTTGTGAGCTTTTATCCTGTCAGAGAAGTAAGTGGAGAGTAACTTTTAGGGCTGGGTTATGATGTAACTGATTGTCAGAGACACTGAAATTGGTATTTAATCATTGAGTGAAGCTCATTCTCTTGGTCTCTTCTCCTGTTTTCCCCCTTTGGCTCATATGTAAATCTTAAATTACCCGTTCATCGTATCTGTCATGCAATTGTCCATTCATAAGAAGTGAAAAGACGTGAACAAGAAGATGAGAGGATGCCTGGAGGATAACAGTAGCTAATGTGAAGTGAGAAAATCTTTTACTTACTGATAAGTAACAATAAAGATAAAGTGGTTATTGCAAACAATAAGCTTAAAGGAGCAAGAATGAGAATTAACAAGAAAGAATCAAATTAGTTATGACTGTAGATCAAGAGAACAGCAAAAGAAAGCTTTATAGAACTTAACTGTGTCTTAACAAGACAAAGGAAAAGTTCAGTCTATTTAGAACTGTACAGCTAAGAATCTGGAAGCAGAATCTGGAGGACTAATAGCTCTGCCATTAAAAACTAGGCTCACAACCAAAAATACAAGAATCTGGAAGCTGAAGAGGTAGTCCTCCACAAGAAAGAACATGCCAATTGGTGGTCCAGTGCCAAATGGCAGCCCTGAAAAATACACAAAAGTAACATTAGACAGATTGAAAGACTATGTTGGGAATACATATGTTTATAATATGAATATATGCATACTAGTGAATAAAGAAGCCATGAATTTGAAAGGGGTAGGTATATATGGAAGTGTTTGGAAGGAGGGGAAAGGAAGGCAGGAATGTAATTACATTATAATCTCAGAAAACAGCTGTTGCCAATAATTCTAAAACACCCTTGGATATAGAAGAATATACTGCTGAAAAAGAACGAATTTAATAAACAGAACTCCATTTGGGATAACTTTTGGGAAGCCCTGCTCCACTCTCTTCTGAGTCCAAGTTGTGTAGTACTAAGGTTCTAGACAAAAATCATTGCCCTTGCTGTAATTGAGTGGGGAAAATGTCCACAGGGTTTATAGAATCGAAAAGTGCTTCAGCCTTGTCTGTATCTGCTTTAGTTCCAGGGAAGAAGATTGTCAGTTTTTCCTACTACTTCAGTTCCATCAGTACAACAATGTAAATGCATTTTAATTTTTGTTACCTCTTCTGTTCCTACTGCCAAATGAAGTTGCCCCACTTTGAAAGATCTTGACCTAAAGCCTTGTATTTTCTTTTAGCTAGATATATCCAACTAGTCATAACCAAGCTTAATTATTAAACTATACCTAACTCAAAAACAAGGGTCACACTCTGTATCCAATAGACTAAGAATTGGGTAAGTAATTCTTTAATGACAGTTCTTGATTTCTCTTGTAAACTTGATGGAAGCAATCCCAATCAGTCTATAAGGAAATAATTTCTATACCATAAACACAGTAGTTTTTGAAAAACATGACCCCTAAAATGAAACCATCCTGTGCCATTTTCTGAACACAAAAGTGAAGAGGTTTTTTTCACATTTTCTATTTGCAGGATTACACAGATTAGACAAAATCCAATATTGTTTATGGTGTAACAGAACATTCAATACATTAATACAAGGAAACAAACATTTGTTTAACTCTTTGGTTTATACTGTCCTTCAGTGAATACTAAACAAAACGGAAATAAATTATTATTGACTGATAACCTTGTCAGTTTGCTTATACTAAGTTCAGTGGCATAGTTAATTATACTAACTAAACAATACTGATAACGTTATCTTTCACAAAGTAGAATATTCCAGATATTAAGATGTTTCCAAGTTTTCTTAGCAATAGAAAAGTTACATATGTAATTGTAACATTTGTAAAAGAAACACTGGCTGCTCTCTCTGTTCCCTGATGAGCACACACTGCCTCTCCTGCATAGTACTTACCCTCAAATTTGCCAAGGTAGAAAAGAACTTGAGCAAGTTCTTGGACAAGAAGTTTGAACTTGATAGAAACCTGTAACTTTGAGTTAATTTCCTTTATTCCATACCTATAAAAATATGTGAAAAGGAAATATTTATGGAGATCCTTGAAGGGACTTTCCTGAACTTCTTTCTCTCAATATTTAAAATGGTTATCATGGAACTAAGCTATGAAATTAGAGCTGTGGCTTTAGTTTGATTCCCTGTAAAGTAATTTGCAGTAAGCACCCAACCCCCCAACAGGAGCATAGTAGAATGACTTCCAGTCTTAAGTCCTCACAAACAAAGATTTGTATTTGAGACCTGGGAGAGCCATTTAATCACTGGGACT